AAATATACATGATTATCTTATATGATATATCTTTTAGTGAGCAATATTCATCATGAAAACAGGTACATTTTACTCGATTTGCTCATAGTGCAAACTTATATGATTTTCCATTAGTTTCTAGATGCCTGTTCCCACCCATGACATATCAACAGTTTTTCACCATGAAATATATCAGACAATATTCATATACATCTTACCTATCGCTAACCACGTTCGAAGCAAAGTATTATCAAGTACTTAGTATGTGAAATTACGATAGAAATCATTCCATATCGCAGTCATAGTTTTTAAGTGATAATCCATTGGAATCTATCAATCATCACATAGAATGAATAAATCTCCTGACATTGCCATGTTATAAGATGGATCCAATAAACGGTACATGTCGATTTGTTTCAGTGTACTTGGACTTATTTTAGTTAATTGAATTTAAAAAAAAATTACATGCTTCAAACGCAACTAGTACCTGTAGCGGCTCTTGGCAAGCGTATGCAGTAAATTGTCGATTACTCTCTATCTTGAAAATTTTAGCGTTACTTCCCGAAAGTCGTGCCCAAACCTGCTCGGTAATTGTGTTTATTACCGCACCCGAGTCTATCAAGAACTTCACGGGGAATTCGCCGTATCAACCTTCGAAATCGTCTCGAACTTCAAATTACGGAATTCACCTCGTCTCGATCATGACTCTTATGGATCCTCATCGCGGAGAGTATTGGCTGCATCAGATTTCTTCCAGCCATGCACTTCCTTGCAAAGTGGCCATAGCATCCGCATTTGTGGCAGTTGGCATTCCTAGCAAGACAATCTCTTGAATCTCGATAGTGATTCCACGATCCGCAACGGTTGCATTCAATACCAGATCGACCAACATTATCCCACTTCCGTTCACGCTTGATAGATTGACCATAATTTCTGCCTCTTGATCCTGATGTCCTGTCCAAATCAATCGTTACCGATGCTACTACGCCAACTTCAGAACGAAACGGTTGAGATCTCTCCTTCTGCTCGACTCATAGCGTAATTGATCAGCTCATTCCGGTTCATAACATTCTCTTAGCCCTTATCTCGGATTCTTTCATCAAAAGCTCCTACTGTTATTTGCAGCAGGTGCAGCAGGTTTCACGAATGCCGATTTTTTGTTTTGTTTTAAAGCTATTCACCAAAGACACCAGTGTTCGGAGGGTTGAAGTATTTCGGCACAAATTCCACTTCTGCTCTGCAGAATCCAGAACTATGAAACTAATACCAACCGGTGGAAACTAACAAATATAAATTGGCTCACTACTAGACTAGCCTATTGGTCCGAAGCAAACGATTAACGTACTCCATTGTAGTTGGAATTCTAGTACTACACTATGTTTGTTTTGATTCGCTATGAAAGTTTGACAGATGAAATTAGGGGTTCGTGGATTTTCCTATGTTTCGAGGGGTGCATCGATTAGCTTTGGACCGAATAGAGTACCAGAGCTGAGCCAAAAGTTGAGCACGTTTCTTCGGGACCTTCTAGTCTTAGAGTTACCTCTATGCTAATACCCCCCTCTCAGACTCAGGCTTAACGTATCAAATCGATTCTAGTTTAAGCGTGATTATTCGAACAGCTTGGAGCTTATGCCTTGTTCAGACTACAGAGTTATAACAACCGGTGGAAACTAACGAATTTAAATTGGCTCACTACTTGACTAGCCTATTGGTCCCAAGCAAACAATTAACGTACCCTATTCTAGTCGAAATTCTAGTACTACACTATGTTTGTTTTGATTTGCTAAGAAAGTTTGACAGAAAAAATGAGGGGTTATTGGATTTTCCTATCTTTCGAGGGGTGAATCGATTAGCTTGGGACCGAAGAGAGTACCAGAGCTGAGCCAACAAGTTGAGCACGTTTCTTCGGGACCTACTAGTCTTAGAGTTAAGACTGACAGACTGAGCAGTTAAAACATGTTATAACGATTGTCAAATAATTGCAACACAGAAACCACCATCAAGATAGCGCTATAAAATGTTATAACTCTGTAGTCTGAACGTACTATTACCAACAATCAATACGAAACTAACGATTTTAAATTGGCTCACCACTTTAGTAGCCTATTGGTCCCAAGCAAACGATTAACGTACCCTATTCTAGTCGAAATTCTATTACTACACTATGTTTGTTTTGATTCGCTATGAAAGTTTGACAGATAACATCAGGGGTGTGTGGATTCATGCAGAACATGCAGGGGTGAGTGAAATAGCTTGGGACTGCTTGGGACCGTTGTTCTGGTACTGAGTGAGCCAAAAATAATAATGATTTTCTTCGGGACCCAGTGGTCTTAGAGTTACCTCTATGCTATTACCTCTATGGTTATAACATGTTATAGCGCTATCTTGATGGTGGTTTCTGTGTTGCAATTATTTGACAACCGTTATAACATGTTATAACCATAGAGGTAACTTTAAGACCACTGGGTCCCGAAGAAAATCATTATTATTTTTGGCTCACTCAGTACCAGAACAACTGTCCCAAGCAGTCCCAAGCTATTTCACTCACCCCTGCATATTCTGCATGAATCCACACACCCCTGATGTAATCTGTCAAACTTTCATAGCGAATCAAAACAAACATACTGTAGTAATAGAATTTCAACTAGAATAGGGTACGTTAATCGTTTGCTTGGGGCCAATAGGCTACTAAAGTGGTGAGCCAATTTAAAATCGTTAGTTTCGTATTGATTGTTGTTATAACTCTCCAGTTTGGACTGGACAGCGTTTTAGCAACAATCAATACAAAACTAACGATTTTAAATTGACTCACTACTTGACTAGCCTATTGGTCCCAAGCAAACAATTAACGTACCCCATTCTATTCGAATTTCTAGTACTACACTATGTTTGTTTTGATTCGCTATGAAATTTTGACAGATATAAAGAGAGGTTCGTGGATGTTCCTATGTTTCGAGGGGTGCATCGATTAGATTGGGACCGAAGAGAGTACCAGAGCTGAGCCAAAAAGTTGACCACGTTTCTTCGAGACCTTCTGGTCTTAGAGTTACCTCTATGGTTTTAGTGTGTGTCTTGTTTATATTTCTGCTATCTGATACTGCTATCGCGTCCGGAGAAATCAAAAAAATTGTTATTAATCATTATCGTGCGTATAGGTCATGATTTCGTCACCTTAAAAGGAACAGACCATTCTCATTTCGCCAGTCCTGTGGAAACCGTCTGGAAATCCAGTCAAGTATTTGAAGCAAATCATCTTTCATTGATTAAAAATGACCAAGCCCATTCTGTACACAATTCACGTGAGTCCACCGTGTCGGACCGTGGAACTTTGCATCAAGGCACTGGATATTGAAGTGGAACAGAGGGTGGTTGATCTGTTGGCAGAAGAATCTCTGAATTAAAAAATTATGAAGATTCCTCCATATTGAAATTTTTTTTTTTTAATAAAATTCCAATTAAACAAACATTCAGGCCCACTATTTTTAAAAGTTTGAAGTTTTTTTTCAGCGAACAATCTTTAGAAAATGGCTCCATTTTCATGATTCTGCAACCCATTAACATGCAAACATGTTGTAACAATTCCATGTACGATGTTGTAATAATTTCCAACGTTGATGGCATTTAATAATTAAAGAAGCAGTTTTTATTTTTTGATTAGAGTGTAAATCAATTGCAATGATATTTTTAAAGCAACATGTTGGAAAAATCTTGGAAAATCTGGAACATATTTTAAAAATCTGGAAATATACGTGATCTGTCTGTGTATCTGGCTGGATGACCGAAAATCTGGAATACTGGCAACGCTGCACGAATGTAAAGATTCTTTCGATGATACCGTCAGTAGTAAATCGTTTGTGTGAACGTATGTTCATCGATGAAGCAAGGTTTATTTTTCTCTTGAGAACTATGTGCCATGATTATACAAGAAAATCAGGTTCGTTTACTGACACATGGGGGTTCAACGGTTACTGAAATACACGTGAATTATTCAGTGAACAGTGAAAACTTCAACCACTAAATACAGGTCTTACGACAGGTCATTCTTTGAGCCGTTATCACTTGAAGCTGATTGGAAAACATCAAGATGATGTATGTTGCTTCTGTGGCATAGAAAAGGAAGACTCGGAACATTTGCTATGCCACTGTCCGGCAATTTTCAATAAAAGGCGTAAGTTCTTCGACAAGGGCCTTTGACATTTGGAGAACAACTCCCAGTACGGCAAGGCACTTTATTCGAAATGTAATGCATTGCTGGGATAATGCTATTAGTCAAACAATTGCGATCACTCCTAATAATAGTGATAAACGGCATCTTTATATATCTAAAAAAAATGGGGAATACATCACAATAGATCAGAAAAATGGTCGCAGCAATGAAAATACCCGACCAGGATTAAAAAAAAAATAGAATAATTATTACGTTGTTATTACTAAGCCACATACTATTTTTTTCTGCTTCAAATAATCCTAATGTTGTTCATCTTACCCCAAATTTCACTTCCCTTCTAATAGATTCGATCTGATTGAATAATAATGACACGGCTGCAAAATCGATTATTGCAGTCGTTAGCCTTAGATTTGAACTTGCACAAAAAGATATTCCTTGCCTCGCTTGCCTCCCTCCCATGCTTACTATTTCATAGCTTATGCTAGCCAAACACAGTAAAACGACGTACGTGGCAAAGCATTAATATCAAATCAGACAGTTTAAATCAAATGGAATATTAGAATATTACATTACGGTAAATCTACAATCAAAGTTTCCCAGCAAAAAACGTTACCTATCATTTGATCATAAATGCAAGCTTTGATTACCTATTTGACAAATTGCAATGGCATATTTGATTAGCACAAACCATTTATTAAAGCTGCCCACTGTTTCCATAAGTTCTGCTCATAAAAAATACATGACTGTGTTTGTTAAGCATAAGCCATGCGAAATCGACGCCCAACAGAATCAAAACAGGTTCCTCATTCATTCAGCAGTTTCGCGGTAGCCGGCAAGCGATCCAGTCGCCAATTTTTGTTCTCGCATCAACCACATTAGCTGATTAGAAATGACCAACCCCATCCTGTACACGATCCACATGAGCCCGCCCTGCCGGGCAGTGGAACTCTGCGCCAAAGCCCTGGGCATCGAGCTGGAACAAAAGGTGGTCAATCTGTTGGCCGGAGAGCACCTGAAGCCGGAGTTCCTCAAGGTAGGTGAATTCTAGCCCGGTCACATGATTTATCTGATGGCTTATCTTTGGTGGCAGATGAACCCCCAGCATACCGTACCGGTGCTGGACGATAACGGAGCAGTCGTTAGTGAAAGTCATGCCATCATGATTTATTTGGTGTCCAAGTACGGCAAGGATGATAGCCTGTACTCGCGTGATCTGCTCAAACAGGCAAAGTTGAACGCTGCCCTGCACTTTGAAAGTGGCGTTCTGTTCGCTCGTATGCGGTTCGTGTTTGTGAGTATGATTATGACCCGAGACCAACACACAACTGGAAGAAAAATTGTCGCTTAATTTATTCTCGCAATCATCTCATTACGTTGTTGCTGCTTTAGGAACCGATTCTGTTCGGCGGTGGATGCGAAATTCCAACGGATAAAGCTGAATACGTTCAAAAGGCCTATCAGCTATTGGAAGATACGTTGGTCGATGACTACGTCGTGGGAAACTCTTTGACCATTGCGGATTTTAGCTGCGTTTCGTCCATTTCCTCGGTGATGGGCGTCATTCCGATGGATAAGGATAAGTACCCGAAGATCGATGCTTGGCTGGATCGCTTGATTGCACTGCCCTACTACGAGGAGGCCAATGGAAGCGGTGCCGTGCAGCTGTCCCAAGCAGTTCTGGCAATGAAGGAGAAAAATGCTCAGAAGGATTGAGCTTGTCGAAGACTTGGTTCAGAAAGTACACGATTGTGATTTATCTTTTAAATAAAAATCGTGTGTTGCACATCATTCAATTTTTTTTACTGCTTAGATTTCTTATTATTCTCGTCCAGCTTCTGTTTCAGGAACACCTTGGTTTCTTCCAGCACATCAGCATTGTACTCCTTGTAGCACGGCATAGTCTGTTCCATGCGTTTCATGAACGTGCAAAGTTTTGGGAATTTACCTTCGCTCATTGGGAAAACTCCGTTCAACGATGCCAAACTAGTGGTCACACTGATGTCCGCCAGGGTCATCGAATCTCCCACCAGGAAGTTACTCTTCAGTGCACCTTCCAACAGCTCGTAAGCCTTCTCGATGGCTTCGAACCGAGCCTGAGGGATTTCCGTAGCACCAAAGTAGAATACCGGTTCCAGTGCTCCCCGAAGCCGAGGAAACAGTATGCTGGAGTCAAAGTGGAGCCAAGCGTTGATGCGTGCTTGTGTTACGAGATCCTTCGGGTAGAGGCTATCGTCCTTGCCGTACTTGGACACTAGGTAGACCAGAATAGCGTGACTATCGTACACCGGCACACCAGCGTCCGTTATGGTCGGAACAGTGTGGAATGGATTCATCTGCATGGGGCGACAGCATTTTATTGATTTAGTCAAACGAAAGCAAAGTTGCTCAAATTTAGAACTCACCTTGAGATAGTCCTCACTCATCTGTTCCTTTTTTGAAAGATCGACATACTTTAGGTCAACATTCAGCCCCAGGATGTGAGAGGTTATTTGAACCGCTCGCCCGCCGGGGGTTCGGCGAGTGGTATAGAGAACAATTTTGGAAGACATTTCAGTTGAACCTTTCGACTGCAGCCGCTGAACAGCACTGGATGAGTCGTGAGAAGTTCAAATTTATATGATTACCAGTGACGAGCTTGTAAGGAGATAAGACATATAGAATTACGTCTGCGAAAGAAGCAAATGTTTCTGTAAAATATACAATTAATACACTCTGTTATCAATATGTGCAGGTAGATAATGCTTCTGGTCAAATAAGCAGTTTTGTTTAGTCATGCCTAAATTAGCTTTTGGACCCACTAAATTTTCAGTGAACTATACAGGAAAACACTGTATAACCAAACTCAAAGACCTAGATCTCCGAAATCTTATGAAGCTATTATGTCAAAGAACACAGACTTTAATCTGGACAGCAACGGATCATGCACTGCTATGTTAATTAAACCAATTTGACAATTCTAGATGAGTTTGCTTGGTTGCAACATATTCTAAGTTCTCCAAATTGTCCAGGAGTTCAGACTATTTGATCTACTGGATCAACCAAGGCCAGCGCGACGTCCTCAATAAAAAAAACACCTACTCAAACATGTTCATAGAAATCACTTATCGCCTATTTTGAGGTATATAAGATTCTCAATGATCTTCAAATTACCCTGGAGTTCAGATCAAATGATCTTCCAGATCAACCATGACTGATACAAGACCCTTAGTAACGAAACAACTCCACACAGGTTCATTGAGAATATGCACATCATTTGCGTTTCAATTTTATGTGTGTTAGATATTCTCGGTTTCTCCAAATTGTATAGAAGGCAAATATATAGAATCAGATAACTGGATTTTAGTGAGCTAGTCGAAGTTTGAATACGAAGTTTTAACTTGCCAAATAAAACTCTTCCAATACCCTCATTCATCATACCGAACTGGATGTTTAGTGATTCTCTTGGCACGTTTGAAATCTGGAACTTCTTCACTTTCAGAATCCTGAACATCCATGTCATTCGACTCCTGCGATGTATGATCCGTCGTAGTTGGTTATTGCTGTGAGGGATTGCAATCCGTTTTTTCACATTGTTGAGTCGGTCATTTCCTCAAATGGGCCACAGGACGCCGATAACAAACACCATCTTCGCTCACCACGATTACATCCGAACCCTTTTAAAGTACAACTTTGTAATTTTCCAGACGAAAACAAGACTCCAACTTCCCCATTTCATAATTCCGCAGCATAACCGATTTCAGTCAGTCTTGCATGTCGCCGCTTGTCCACGTAAACCTTTCCTTGCATCTTCTTGATTGAATCTCTGTCGCGTGTTTCGGCGTCCCGTTTCCAATAAGGTTCAGCCCTCAATTGTGGTAGAAGGTCCTTCACTGGTCGTCCATTTAGAAGCTCCATCGGTGACTTTCCCGTAACAGAATGCGGTGTCGTATTATACGCGTACACATAATTCTGTACTGATTTCCGTCAATCTTCTTTCAACATCTTGGCAATCCGTAAAGCTCGCATAATACCCTGGTTTTGCCGCTCAACCAAGCCGTTCATTTGCGGCCAGTATGGAATGGTATGTACAAGCCGAATATTTTTACTGATGCAGTAGCTCGCAAACTCTTCGCTGGCGAATAGAGGCCCATTATCAGGTCTAATAGTTTCCGGATAGGTATGTTCGCTGAAAACGTTTTCGAGAGCTTCACTGGTCTTCCCAGCATTGGTTCCCTTCATTTCAGTAACTGTTAGAAATCGACTGTAGTAGGGGAAACAGCCCTATTGTTGCGGTACATTAGCAGCGTTAGAAGCCTATTGTTGTGTATGGAGGGCTTTCCCCTAGCCGAATACCACTAAGAACGTCACACATTCCTTCGCAGTAAAAAAAATCTATCGCCAAATCCTGCCACGCGCGGTCTGGCATTTCTTTTCGCAGCATTGGTTCCGGGGGGCTTGGGAACTCACTGCTGTGCATGCTACACACTCTCGGACTCGGTTAGCAAGATCGCGATCCATGTTCGGCCACCAAACTTTTTCTCTTAAACTTCGTTTCATTGTGACTACTCCCGGATGTCCTCTGTGTGCGATATCTTGGGCTCTCTGACGTAGAGCTGATGGGAGAACAATTCTATCATCCCTTACTACAACACCCTCAATAACTTCGAGTTCCTTTGCAAACGCATGGTATGAAAATAGATTCGGAGGCCAAACTTGAGTTTCAATAGCTTTGACCACCGTGATGAGAACTTCGTCACATTCGTTTACTTTTTTTAATTTCTTCCAGCGTAATGGTTGATAGTCCCTCGCCAATTTCACATACGTAATGCTCAGAAGCTTCATCGAAAGGTGTATCGGACTGCGGGCATAGTATTGAGAAGATGTCGGAGATATTGTCAGTTCCAGGGATATATTTCACGCAGAAATCAAAGGGCTGTAGACGTAAAGCCCATGCTTCAGCTCGCGAACATGCACGCTTTCCTTGCTGATGCTTTCCATCGAATATTTAATCAAGGGTTTTGTGATCGGTGTACACCGTAAACCGAATTCCAAACAAATACGGATAGAACTTTTCCATAGCCCACACGACAGCTAATGCTTCACGTTGAGTATGTGGATATACTCTCTGCGTCTTTGTCAACTCATTTGACGCAAAGCTTATGATCCTTGGCATATTCAAATTGTCTCTCTGAGTTAACACCGCTCCGAGACCCACCGGTGACGCATCAACATATAGCTCTGTTATGTCCTTCGGATCGAAAAATCCCAGTCGGTGAACAGTGTTAGTTCATCACGCAGGTTGTCAAATGCTCAACGCTGGTTTTCACCGAAGAATTCTGCCTCACCCCTGATGAACTGTCGCAAGGCCTCGGTCCTCGTTGATAAATGCGGGATGAACTAACCGACGAAATTGATTAAACCGAGAAATCTCCGAACTCTTTTGTTTCAGGTTCACTGAAGTTTCGACTTCACATATTTTAAAGCCCAGAATTTCAAGTTCGCCAACTCCTATCAAACATTTATCTTTGTTCAACAACGCATGGTTCCTATCTAGAACAGTCAACACTTTCGCTAGACGCTCGTCATGCTCCTCCTGAGATTTTCCCCACAAAACGACGTCATCAGTATACACCACTACTCCATCAATACCAGCCAACATCTCACACATTATCCGTTGAAATATTTCCGGTGCGCAATTGATGCCAAAAGAAAGTCGCTTAAACCTCATCAGACCCCTATTCGTTATGAATGTTGTGATCCCGCGTGATTCTGGGTGTAGCTCAACATGGTGAAAGGCAGAAGTAATATCCAACTTAGAGAAAACCTTCGCGTCTTTAAGCTTGTTCAACAAGGTGTCGATCAACGGTAGCGGATAGTGTTCCCTTTGAATCGCTTGATTGGGATACCGCATATTGATACACAAACGGATGTCATCCGTTCCCTTGGGAACAACCACCATGGGTGATATCCATTCCGCAGGACCCACGACTTGTTCGATAACATCTGCATCGAGCATTTGCTGAATCTTTTGGTCAACCTTATCTTCCATTGCTGCGGGAATTCTAAGGTATGCGATTTTTCTCGGAGGGACACTATGAATGACTTGAATGTTCGGGAATTAGGGGAATACTGCTTTGTTTTGTTCAACATTTTGTACTGCTAGCGCCACCTTCAAGACTGCTAAGCAACGACTTGCGTGCGCCTCGAATCACGAAAAACTCAGCTTACGACTTGGGCTTATTTTCGTTAATTGAAATCCAGCGGCTCTTGAAATTCCACTCTGCTCTGCAGAATCCAGAACTATGAAACTAATACCAACCGGTGGAAACTAACGATTATAAATTGGCTCACTACTTGACTAGCCTATTGGTCCGAAGCAAACGATTAACGTACCCCATTGTAGTTGAAATTCTAGTACTACTGTTTGTTTTGATTCGCTATGAAAGTTTGACAGATGAAATTAGGGGTTCGTGGATTTTCCTATGTTTCGAGGGGTGCATCGATTAGCTTTGGACCGAATAGAGTACCAGAGCTGAGCCAAAAAGTTGAGCACGTTTCTTCGGGACCTTCTAGTCTTAGAGTTACCTCTATGCTAATACCCCTCTCTCAGGCTCAGGCTTAGCGTATCAAATCGATTTTAATTTAAGCGTGATAACTCGTACAGCTTGGAGCTTATGCCTTGTTCAGACTACAGAGTTATAACATGTTATAGCGCTATCATGATGGTGGTTTCTGTGTTGCAATTATTTGACAACCGTTATAACATGTTATAACTCTCTGGACTGGACAGCGTTTTAGCAACAATCAATACGAAACTAACGATTTTAAATTGGCTCACCACTTTAGTAGCCTATTGGTCCCAAGCAAACGATTAACGTACCCTATTCTAGTTGAAATTCTATTACTACACTATGTTTGTTTTGATTCGCTATGAAAGTTTGACAGATAACATCAGGGGTGTGTGGATTCATGCAGAACATGCAGGGGTGAGTGAAATAGCTTGGGACTGCTTGGGACCGTTTTTCTGGTACTGAGTGAGCCAAAAATAATAATGATTTTCTTCGGGACCCAGTGGTCTTAGAGTTACCTCTATGGTTTTAGTGCGTGTCTTGTTTATATTTCTGCTATCTGATACTGCTATCGCGTCCGGAGAAATCAAGAATTTGTTATTAATCATTATCGTGCGTATAGGTCACGATTTCGTCACCTTAAAAGGAACAGACCATCCTCATTTCGCCAGTCCTGTGGAAACCGGCTAGAAATCCAGTCAAGTATTTGAAGCAAATCATCTTTCATTGATTAAAAATGACCAAGCCCATTCTGTACACAATTCACGTGAGTCCACCGTGTCGGACCGTGGAACTTTGCATCAAGGCACTGGATATTGAAGTGGAACAGAGGGTGGTTGATCTGTTGGCCGGAGAGCACCTGAAGCCGGAGTTCCTCAAGGTATGTACGTTACAGTCCTTCAACGAGGCTTGGCGACTAGTTTTTGTTTCTTTTGTGACAGATGAACCCCCAGCATACCGTACCGGTGCTGGACGATAACGGCACAATCGTTTGTGAAAGCCATGCCATCATGATTTATTTGGTGTCCAAGTACGGAAAGGATGATAGCTTGTACCCGAAAGATCTGGCCCAACAGTCCAGAGTCAACGCTGCGCTGTTCTTTGAGAGCAGTTTTCTGTTTGCTCGTATGCGGTCTATATGTAGACTGGAGTTTATCATCGAATTTTATCTATAGAAGCTACTTTGTTATCGTTGCTGCTTTAGGAACCGATTTTCTTCAACGGCGTCGGTGATATCCCAACGGACAAGGTTGAATATGTACAGAAGGGCTACAAATTGCTGGAAGACACCTTGGTGGATGACTATGTTGTTGGGAACTCGATGACCATTGCGGATTTGTGCTGCGGCTCAACCATTTCCACGGTAATGGGAGTCGTCCCAATGGATGTGGACAAGCATCCGAGGATCTACGCTTGGCTGGATCGCTTGAAGGCGCTGCCCTACTACGAAGAAGCCAATGGAGGCGGTGCCAAGCGGATGGCTATGGCCGTGTTGGCTACGAAAGATAAAAACGCACAGCAATAGGCCTGCGTTTTTTGTTACAATAAATAGATACAGTTCTTTAGTGCAAGCAACGCTTGAAAACTATTAACAATCGATTATTATTTAAAACCACTTTAAAGCTACATTAAAAATCAAAAATCAAAAATCAAAGAACTCTTGATATAAATTAGTAAACTACTATGATAAGAATTGCACTCATTATTATTATCATTATATTACATTAACAGGGGACTCTCAGTGCGAGCTCTTTGGTGTGAAGGTGAGTTGGTGGGCCTTTTAAAAATATCTACTCTTTTGAACAGCGATAACAAAATATATATATTTTTTTAGGAGTGTTGATTGACCGTTACCGTTTGACAAGAGGATTAATTCGAGGGATAAGTGTGATTCGTATCTTATGCGAAGCGTAGCAGGGTCCTAGTGTCTGTTTTTGGTCCTAGTGGTCACCTAATTGGCCCGATTAAAATTTAAAAGTTTTTCATTCTTTGCCAATTTTATTTATGAAGCAGTGAAATTGGGTTGTTAGCGGAATGCTTTAAATAAAACAGCAAAAAAGGTTATCTTCCATTTAATTCCACTTAATTAATTTTGGTATCCATGACAGATACATATTTCGACTACAATGTGCAGTCTTCATCAATGTCATTCCCACTAAAGACTTATCAAATGGATGATGGATACCAAAACTAATTAAGTGGAATTTAATGAAAGATAACCTTTTTTGCTGTTTTAAATTTATTTAATTACAAATTAAACGCAAATTAAATCATGAAAATTTATTTTAAAAAAAATCATTAAGTCCCTATGGCTAAATACTGGCACACTTACTCTAATAATATTATCGTTTGTGTAAATGTAAGGTTAATCGATCCACGATACCGTTTAGTCTCAGTTCAATCAGCTCTGACAAACACATTATTTCTTATCGTATCCAGTGATGGCATAATCATTAGCAAAATGATATTTGTTCGCTATCAACTGTTTGCAACTGAGAGTTGACTCGACACAAAAATGATTCCGTTGCACATCATTTTCTGAGAACGAGATAGTAAAGTTTGCTATCTCTCTGTACTCTTCACCGATGGACGAAGTTACAAAAATCTTGAAACTCAAACTCACGCTAGTTTGGTGAGAATTGTAGCTGTTGAGTTTTGTTAGTCAGAAAATCGGAGTTGCGATATTACAGCTTGTAAATGCTCCCCCACACTGGTACGATTTATTCGCGAATAAATCGTATTTTCCTCGGACCCACACCGGAGTGGCAGTTTTGCTGCTGCGTCGCGATCGTTTACAATGGATTCGTTGTCAAATGAAGAGGCGTTGCTGTTGCTTAGTTTGCAAGCAGAGGAAACTTCCTGAACTCGTAACAAAACATAATTATTTTAACAATATAACGATTGATCTTGTTGTCTCATGGGATTTGAGTTGTCGGATAATGAGTCCTGTCGGATTTTGGTCACTTTCTGGGGAGCATCCAGCACATGACCAGGTGAAGCCAATGTTGGTTGATGTTTCGCATGATAAATTTTATACTGATGCCAGATTTTGGACTCATCCGGAATGTTACTGAATGTTAATTCGGACTCGGGGCCAAGCATATGTGGAGAGCCAAGTGCTCCAGTGCACCAAAGTCGATTTCGACAATGATTAAACCTTCATTTGCGCAAAAAAAAACTTACGTTGTCTATTGCAGTGTCATGGGGTCAATTTGAACCCAAATTCATATTGCCATATCTCACCGATGTTTCAATTGAGTTTTGAAATTTCAAATGTTTTGCAAAGTAAATTTGATACACTTTAAGATAAAACTATTCCAAAATTGGGGGCGGATCTCTCGTGGCTAGCGGTCGTTGTAAAAATGTGCCCATGAAATGGAATATTTCGATATTAGAGATGATTATTCTACGGAATCCTTTCCATGTAGGATATTACTTTCATAATCTTCAAACAAAACTTCTTAATAATTAATTTAACCCTGTGTCTGTGTCGGGAGTCTTGGGGCCTCTTAGTTGAGTTTTAATTTTTGCAATGACAGACAACAAAGGGTTAACGATCCTCAGCTCCGTTTCCTGGGGGTGTGACACATCTAAATCTCAATTTTTGATGGTCGAACAATCTCACACTAGCGAATCAATTCACTAAAATCTTTGTTCATCTTTTGGATCTAAATCCATTTATTTACTCGCATCGCTTTCCACCTTAATGCAGGAAATCTTTAAAATCATCATCAATCTTCTTTCTACAGTGCTTTCCCGATTTTGTCAGCTCTCGATTTTGTCTACCCCTGATTTTGTCAGCATTTTTTCTCAATTTTGTCAGCCTGAAGATTTTGCTGACCTTTTTTGTTTTTAAGCATGAATTTTCAAGCATTTCGCTCCAAATGACACTTAATTGTTTTGTCGCAACAATAACAGAGGTAACTCAAATAAACCTCAATTATTGCAACACTGCACAGCTGTATCGAGTCCCTCCAGACAAAGGTAACTAGGTGGCAAATAGAGCTGGGATGGCTGCAATAAAAGTTATGGACAGATACCCCATTCAAGAAGAAGGTTTCGTGATCGCCAAAATTAACGGAATATTAATATGCAGTTGCTACGCACCCCATGGTCGATGGAGCAATTCCACGAGACGCTGGTTGGACTTATCGAAGAGCTGATCGAACGAAGACCGGTAGTCATCGGAGGAGACTTCAATGCTTAAGCAGGGGTAACAGATGTACCATCGCAAGAGGGCACATTCTGCTAGAGGCTCTGGCGAAGCTGGAAATTCGACTGTTCAATAAAGGCACCACCAGCACTTTTCGCAGAGATGGCCGGGAATCCATTATCGACGTTACTTTATGCGGACTGCAGTCCGTCGCTGGTGGAAAACATGAATTGGAGAGTGTGTGGAGGATATACCCATAGTGACCATCAGGCAATCCGATATGACATCGGCCAACGGAATCCTGTGGCAGTACAGAGGACGAGAACTTGTGACCTGAAGTGGAACCTCCAGCTTACTGCTACAACGAGGCAATTAGCACCCTCCGCGCTAGTTGTCTCAGAGCCAGAAGACGTGTTCAGAGAGCAAGAACAGAAGCAGACAGAAAGGAGCGTAGAGGAATGTTCCGAGCACATAAACGAGAGATAATGCAGAGCAAGTCAAACTGTCAAGTGGAGCTGGGTCGAGACGCTGCTGCCAACGACGCACACCGTGTCGTGATGACGAAGATCAGATGTCAAGTCATGCCCGCTGAAATGTGATTAGAGAACCTGAAAGTTATCGTGGAAGGACTTTTATCGAAGTATGATCCAACGACCTGGTCACCTACATCGTACGGAGTCGGAGATGGAGATAACGACGAATTCACCAACGAGCCACTCGTAGCAGTGCCTGCTGGATACACTCAAAAAAACTCTTGGAGAGGGTCATCCTAAACAGGCTGACGAAATGCACGGAGAGTGAGCATGGATTGCCGGAGAGGCAGTTCGGATTTCGAAAAGGAAGACCAAAAGTGGATGCAATTCTAGAGTGCCTAGAAGGCGTCGAAACAGAAGTGGAGAGGAGATCGATATTACGCTGTGATAACGATCGACGTCAAGAATGCGTTCAACAGCTCCAGCTGGGAGGCCGACGCTACTTCCAGAACCGGGTTCTGATCTACGAGCCAAATATGGCTCGGTATTCTGGAGATATATCACGATCCATCAATCCAGGTCCGCTGAATATTTTTCAAGACTTCAGGATGATCAAGTATTATTATGAAGATCATCAACTGTTACGATCCCCGATTGCACAGGAATTAACGCAAATACCTTAGGACTGCTGGAGTTTTTTCATACTTTCAGGATGATCAGGTATTATTCTGACGCTCTTCAACATTTCAAGTGACGCCTCTTGGATATTCTTTCATGACTCCAGGTTGCTCAGAAAATATTCTGAATAATTCTAAAGATCTCTAATTGTTCAATAAATCCAATCACATCGCTTAGATATTCTCACAAGAAAATAGGTTGATCGGGAATTACTCAAAAGTCCTTCACCTGCATAATGCTCTCTAGATGCTTGGAGAAGACTTCAGGTTTATGTCATATTATTCTGAATCCTGATCGGTGGCTATTCAAATCATGTTTCTCGGATATACGATTCAGAAAGCACGTGGATCAGGAATTATTCCAAAGACATGCATAATTTCTCGGGAACCAAACCTCAATCTTGTAAACAAACTATACCAAATGATAAAGGAATCATTCCTCTACCTGATAGTGTTATTGGTTTTTGAGATTGAGCTTTTATTCGCAAATAATCGGCGATTAACGTGTTTGTTTACAAATGATGATGATGATGATGATGATGATGGTCCCACCTCTTACCCCTACAAAGGTTTGAGCTGGACGAGTTATCTTTAAGATAATTAAATATAAACATTTTAACCAGGTTTGCAAACAAAATCGAGCTGGTTACAATTACAGATATAAATGTCCTGTTAAATATGCTATAGGCATCATCCAAAAACATTCAAAGGTGTAACTAGTTATCAAAAGTCCAAGTATAGTCCTCGACAATACTTCCATTTACACGTGACCTGGGATTTACACGTTTAAGCTTCCGCAGTGCCAGGACTATATCCAAGGAAACGACTTCCAGCCAACCCTTTACTAATTCAAGGCTTTTGCCACAATTTCCACGTATTAGTCATTTATACCTGTATTCCGCGCGCGAGGCTCAAACCATTGTAGACTACTCAAAGCTATTTTTACTATTACTACTACAAAATCAAAAAAACTAAAAATCCATCATCACCATCGAGGCAAACAATGTAGTTTTTTTGTATATGCTACACAAATTACTAAAATGTCTTGATGACAGTCTCCATACAAAATAATCCGTTAGTGATAACTTTGTCAAGATACATGATTTATCCATTCATAAAAAATTAACTGCTCAATAAACAGCTTTTACATGTGAAATGCAGCGTCTCTTGAATTCTGTAAGTGTAGTTGCACGCTTGATGTGTCTAGGCATCGAATTGAAAACATTTATACCTTTGAAAAATAATGAATTTTGTGAAGCATTATTCAAAAGATGTGGTGTTCTTACTTCATCCGCGTTTCTAGTGTTATATCTATGAAAATCACTTCCCCTTTCAATCCGATCACACAAATATCGATGCAGACGCAATTACGCCCAAATTTTAAATCACTCCGGAATAGCTTATTATTTATTTCAATAAATCGATTCATGTCTTCTAGATATTTTCACATTAATGAATTATTCCAAACACCTTCAGACAGTCAAAGACCTGCAAAATATTTTATAAAACTTATATTTCTGTAGATCACGAGTTGCCCAATAAATGGAATCATGTCACTTAGATAATGATATTCTGTCACATTGATAATGATACATATTCTCACATGAAAGTAGGTTGACCAGAAATTAGTCCAAATACCGAAATTAGATCAAATCCTGCATAATGTTTCTGTTATTTTTAGAACTTCCTCGAAGTAATCTACGGTAGGTTAGAAGGAAGGGTATATATTTTTTTCTGAAGTTAGCAAAACTTATCAGAACTTCTCTTCTTTCAATTCTTGTTGCTGCTCAGCTTAGCAATGTTTGTCATAAAAAAATCGCTTATTGGCAAAGCAAACCACACCAGAGAACTGATGTCGCGCTTCTTCGGCGGCAAAAACGCTACAGACAGTGAATCGAAAGTGATCATGGTCACTGGTTATTGAATTTTTCCCAACACTGACAGAGACTTCGATCATAACCTGGACCAGGCAATCTTCTTCTTCATCATCGCATTTCAAGCTTATTGCTTATAGCATATAAGCTTATTGCATGCTCTCAACGTAGTGTTCTTGATGTACTTCCACACTGAGGCAAATAGACCTAAGAGTTTCATAAGGCTCGACTTATGAACATCATATATGAATTTCATAAGCGTGACTTATGAATGATTTTCGAGTAACATGAGGTAGCTCTTATACACCTTTAACCATTTCATTTTCCCAAGCGTTGAAAGACGAATGGTCAACACACGGGCCCCCTAACCTCAACTTCCAATTACCGGTTTCAGTCTGCTCCGATTTATTATTTTTTGTCAACATTATTTTTCATAATGCAAATCAATGGAATTCACACTCATTTCTTATGGCTAAAATTCGTAAGTGTTTCTTATGGAATTCTTACGTTCTTTTTCCTGCGTGCACAGTTATTAATTGAGAGGTTTCAATGCCTGTACCAATTTTTCATTAAGCTGGGCTTAGACTAGGCAAGTCAAATGATCAACTCAGTTGAATTCAATTGGCTTGAAAAGTTGAGTCTGGTTCAACTTTTTTTTTCAATTCAAGTGAGTTGTTTAAGTCAGTTGAATGGCATGGTTTACACGTTCAATTCGCGTTCAAGTCAGTTGAATTCAACTGACTTGATCCATTGACTTGCCTAAACCCAGCTGTAGTATAATTGTGTGGCAAGTATAATCATATTATATGTCCAGGGAAGTCGAGAAATTTTCCAACTCAAAAAATTCCTAGCCCGAACAAAAATGTGAATGATTACCATAAAAAATATGCAAAGATTCACAAGTAAATCGGAGAAGGTCGCATCAGATCGATTCGTCATTTGGCGTGGAACTGCTCTAATTTATACAAAAAGATAAAATTGAAAACGCTTACATTGTAGGTACGACTATAGAAATTTCAAAAGGAAACATGACTTTGATAAAACCATGTTCATATTTTACTCCAATTTCGGTACACTACAAGCTACAAGTGATAAATAATAGGTGACAACATCTCGCATAAAATACTAATTCAAAAGCACGGATATCTTTGAAGCAAAAATCAGTATCGTCGTCAGATTATTTGTATTCAACACACACGCAAACTCTCGATAGCTCGCGTTTGGATGTTTTGGCTCATACATACCTCCATCTATACAACGGTAGATTGGTATGCACAGTAGCAACAACGATTCGCATATATGTAACTGATTCTAGCAAACGAGTCAGTGCGAATCCGGCATTCGTTAAGTGAACATTTTTCGCAATCGCTTCTCAAGTTACCATGGGCAAGATTCAGCTGTACACCGCAAAGCTAAGCCCTCCGGGACGCTCAGTTGAGCTGACCGCAAAGGCTCTGGGATTGGATCTGGAAGTTCATCCGATCAATCTGATCGCAGGCGATCATCTGAAGCCGGATTTCGTCAAGGTTGGTATCTAACTCAAGCAACTGATTGGATTTGACCTTGAAACGCTGTGAATTAACCTCATCAATTGATCTCGCTGATTCGCTTGTGTCTAGATGAATCCCCAGCATACCATTCCGCTACTTGTCGATGACGATGGAACGATAATATACGACAGTCACGCCATCATCATCTACCTGGTGACCAAGTACGGAAAGGACGATGCGCTCTATCCGCAGGATATTGTAACTCGGGCCAAGATCAACTCGGCGCTTCACTTCGATTCGGGTGTGCTCTTCGCCAGACTTCGCTTCTACGTGGTAAGTGCGATTGATAACCTTACTGAAACCATAGGTGAATCGTTATCAAAAGTAAATAACAAAATATCCTATAATTACAGGAACCAATCTTGTACTATGGAAGCACGGAGACGCCGCAGGATAAAATCGACTATTTGTACAAGGCCTACCAGCTGTTGAACGATACACTAGTCGACGATTACGTCGTTGGAAACAAGCTTACCCTGGCGGATCTGAGCTGCATCGCTAGTATCGCTTCGATCCATGCTATTTTCCCGATTGACAAGACCAAATACCCTAAGCTGGCCGGATGGGTCGAGCGTTTGGAGAAACTACCCTACTACAAGGCCACCAATCAGGAGGGCTCCGATATACTGGCCGCCATGTATCACGACAGGCTTGCTCAAAATCGTGCTGCGAAGAAGTAATTAAGCAATAAACTCATGGTTTGAGTTGAAAAAAAAGACAAACATTACATTTTTATCATCGTTAAGTAAACGAATGCAATCTGTCAACAGTAGGTCTGTACTAAGCAAACATGAATCCATACTATGTTGAGTAACTAATGCAAACACAGCGACGAGCCGGTGGGTTCTAGCGGGCTAGTAGTGTTGGTACCATCACACCATGCTACTTCTATCCATGTTTGTTTTCCACACCCACATCTAGCAAATTGAATCTAGCATCTTGGCATTGTGATTGCTCTCTAGAGCAGACCGAATGAGCGAAGGGGGCGTAATGGGAATGAATGCGCGCAATGAATGGCGAATCAAAAACAAACGTCTCGTCCCGACTGTGGGAGATCAGTCTCTGTCGATCTGTGGTGGCGTTCGTTCAACTCGTGGTGCACGCGCATGGAAATCAGCTTGCGTAAACAGCAGAGTGAGAACAAACCATCGCAAGCGGTTTCGGTTGTGTGTATTGGCAAATTTGAATTTGAAGCCGGTCAGCATATTTTTGTTTTCGGGAATAACTTGGCTCGACGCTTTTTTTTAATTCGGTAAGTTGATTGATAACAACGTGATGGTATTTGTATAAGTGACTTTATGTATTCATCAGTATGGAAATAGTCAATAATCTATCGTTGTCAAAGTTAGCAAAGGCAAAATAATGTTTCAACTAAAAAAAACCAAAGTTTGTGATTTTATTTCATATACCTAAGACGTATTTTGACGAAATTGAAGAGTAAAAAAAATTCTATATTTTTGATCAATTGATAACACTTTGCACAACACGTATTTTTAGGACAGAAAATGTTTACCATATTGTCTACCTCTTTATCACCTGATTTAAAGTCTAGAAAATACTTTTACCCTACCACGTCACGTTTTCTAGGTACCGCTCTCTTTACTAGGCTATACCATCCTACAGGCGTGTATGACGTCAGCGAGCTTGCAACCCGGAGGTGCTTCATGTTCTGAAAGACACCGCCGAAGTATCACCGAGATGATAGCGTTGAGTTAGCGTTTTCAAATATTCTAGAAAAATACTCCTTGAGTCATTTTCTACAAATAATCCATGCGCATCAATAATTATTGCACATACTTAGGTTGGCAGTAAATGGCCAAATTCGTGAATAATATCCCAATTTATAAAGCAGGCACAGTACCTAAAAGACGTGGGAACGCATAGGAGAAGTGTGCCAGTTATGTCCTCTAATTGGACATACGGCCTAAAACCTTCAAATTGTCATTACATCAAGGTTTCTTCGCCAGGAAGTTAGGATTCCGGCAATCTTGTCCTCAAACATGATTTAGGCCGTACGGCCAATTAACACTCCGAACACGATGCTTCCGGGTAAAATGTGTAACGGCAAACTTGCAATGTTTAAAAAATCATAGCCCAGCCGTTTATTGACGAATTTCAAATCTATTGACTCTTAATATTTATTCGGTATTAATAGGTGTCAAATCTATCGATAAATTGCTGACCAATGATTTTTCATACATTGTCAATTTGCCGTTACACTTTTTACCGGAGGCATCGTGTTCGGCGTGTTAAGGGAACACTAGTACCACAGACAAACAGACATAACACTCGCAATTTGTTCATCGAACAAGCATTTAACGGTCAATTCAAAAGTATCATAGTTGGTAGTACCACCACCTGTGGCGCGCATAGTCAATTCCCTTGCGTTTGACGTTTACACACTACCGCCATCTGTTCAGCGTACTACCCACCACAGTGTACTCAACAGATGGTGGTAATGTTTTAGCGACGATGTTTAACATTGAGAAATATTCAATGTGTTATGTCTGTTTGTCTGTGCTAGTACCATAACCATTAGACTGATGCAAAATTTGAAATTTTCGCTCCACAGTGCTTAAACTGTTCCAAATTGGATCCTGCTTAGCCTCCCAAAATTTGAACTACTTAAGTAAGAAACTGACTTGGCACAAACCATTTCAAGTTTATATGGGAATTAATATGGGAAAACTTATGTTTTTGATCATATCTATATAAAAATTCACCCCATCACTATGCTTTTAAAAATGATAGCAGTTTAATTTGACATTTGGCTGAAAAATTTCCCGTAAGAATAGTTATAGAAATTTTCGAAAAAGCAATATTGAAAATGGGTAGAAGACAATGAACAAAAAGGTTGGTTTTCCCATAGTTATTTCCATATAAACTTCGAATAGTTTGTGCTGAGTCAGTTTCTTACCAAATGAGTTTAAATTTTGGGAGGCTTATCAGGACCTGATTTGAAACCGTTTAAGCACTGTGGAGCGAAAATTTCAAATTTTGCATCAGTCTAAATAATAACCATGCTTGGCATGCACAGTGGTACACACCGACTGCTAATTTGTTAATAACTTTTCACTCAGTTGTTGAAATTTGGGTTTCTTTTAAGTAATTGATAGATTAGGATCATAGTTTACTGTAGATATGCAAAGAGTAGGTAAATCATAACATTTGAATCAACACCAATGGATTTTTACGCTTTAAGACCGAGATGTGCAGCGAGCATTTCTCATTTCATTTTTACAACGCAAAAACAAAAAATACAGTTTATTGCTAAAATTAAAATCTACTTTTTTACGTATCTATAACAAGGTTAAACTTTATTTTTCTACTGCTTCAAAAAGAACTATGTTTCGTCAACTGTATGCAAAGTTATTAGCAAATGAGTAATTCGTGATCAAAACTGTGTATGCCAAGCATGGCAATAACGGGCAAACTTCACCAATAGTCTTAATTTTAAGTCCGGTTTTTGGAAAAATAATCATTATTCTTGACATCTTTAAGGCTCCGGTAATTTTATAGATTCTGGAATGAGAAAATAATGAAATTTCTAATTAGAAATTCTATGAAGTTTTCATGAAAAATGTTAAGGACTTCCATGAAAATAGTGAAAGGGATTTAGGAATATCTTCTTCCTCCTGGCTTTGACGCTCTTACACGAGCTTACGCATACTTTCGTCTTAGTATTATCACATAGAAGTATTATTTGAAGCATTCCCAAAGGTATCACGTTGTTTGTGTTTTAGAATTGTATCAAAATATTATATGAACAATATGAACCACTCTTTCGCTTAGTTGGCGAACCGAATTTTAAGCGATGAAAGCGCGTCTGTGACCAAAAAGACTACCAATGTATTTGTTTATCTTCATAAGGGGTCAGACAAATTTTCGCTTGTGGTTTGTCATTAATTAATATCATTTTGCACAATTTGCTGTCAGAGAAACCTAGGAGCTATCTAATTGAAACTCTATAGTTTCTCGATTTATAGCTATCGTGGGAGCTGTTCTCATGCGGTTACGTGATCGCAAGAGTGTTGCCCGGAAGGTTCACAGCAAACGTTGTGTTGGAACTTTGAATCGGCAACTGAATTGGAAGGTGTTGCAGACGATCAAGAAAACCCATGACTCTCGGATCGGGATTTCACAAAAAAAAATACAGTTCCGTTGGACCGTCCGGAGGACCTGTCTGCGAGCATGTTACCGTTCATTCCGTGCCTCCAAGCAACCGAACAAGATGATGAAGCAGAATCTAGTGGCCTGAACACGCGCCCGGAAGTTGTTCGACCGGGTTCTGACGAAGTACAGAGGATGCCTTCTCGTGGACGACGAAACATATGTAAAGATGGATATCAGGCAGGTTTTCTGACAAAAACTTGATCTGGCCACAGCACGGGGTGATGTTCCCAGCAAATTGAAGTTTGTTTTCGTCCGGAATTTGATTATTTGGCAAGAAATTTGCAGCTGCGGACACAAAACCAACAAATTTGTATGCACGTTTCTTTTCTCGTCTTCCATCTAGTACAACTTTTTTAATACTGCTCGTATTAAGACGAAACGACGAAACTTTCACCAAACCACTGAAACACGTGTACTTTCAAAACAAAACGCTGTTAAAACATACCAAATCGCACCATGTGCTGCTATAGAATAAATAAATTTTCCGGATGCTAAGTGGACCAGACTTTACATGGAATAATGTAGTCCAAATAGCGGGAAATTGAAGGTCAGTTGCTGGAATCCTTATCGGACATTTGCGAGGTATGTAAATATCTGCAGCACACTTCTTGTGTTCCGTTCCACGGCTGGCATTGGAAAGTTACTGAACTGTTTTCTGATCCATATCGTCCAGTTCCAGGTGGGCTTTCACTTGCTAGTGGTTGAAAATGACAGAAAATTCTTCGGTGTAATCAACGGCCTATTTGGGCATCTACTGGCCGTCAGCGGCAGGGTGAAAACCTGGACGCGTTTTCCGCTTGAAGCAACAAGGCTTTGCAGGTATGGTCGCTTGAAGTTGGAAAGGAAATACCTAGCACATTTCCTACCGGTTTTCACCGAAATATTCTATACCTATAAAGTTTGATAATTTTGACTTAGGAAGCATTACTGCTCCTAAAATGGAATTTTTACAGAAATCATTAATTGACATGATTACTTATTTATATGCTGAAAACTAACTCCGTATTTGATGCTATTCAAACTGGAGTAAAATTTGGGAACAATATCGTCATGACTTTGAAATTCAGCAATGGATTTTAAATCATTGAATATTTTGAATTGGAATGCTCGAGCTATTTAATTCTTTTAAAGTTCATAACCTGCATATTACCGTTATAACTGAAACGTTCCTTAAACCTGACCATAAGGTTAAAAGGGACGCAAATTATTTCATTTATCGAAATGATCGCCTTGATGAACCCTGTGGTGGCGTTGCCATCCGAGGGGGGCGTCACATCTAAATCTCAATTCTAGCAAACCAATCTACTAAAAATCTTCTTTCTTTTCTCGCATCTACTTGCATCGCGCATCATCTTTTTGCAGGAAATCTTCAGAATCGTCATAAATCTTTCTATCTACTCAAAGTGCGCGCAGCTAACCACACTAAAACAAAATCGTTCCCGCATCGTAGAAAGAGTCGTTCCCCTCGTTGCCATCATTGTTCATAACGAATCAAACATCAAATTATTTCTTCATTAGAAACCAAACTTTATTAAACTTAGAAACCAAAGATTATGAGAGTTTCTGTCGAAACAAAATTTGAGCAACTTACGTTTATAGCTGCCTATTTGTCATTCTAATGCGTAGGCCAGCAAAAGAATTTTCTCAAGGGTGAACTTCAAAAACTTACCCCGTCATAGGTCTAAATTCTTCATTATTGGTGATTTTAATGCAAAACACCGCTAATGGAATAATGCTCAAAGCAATTCCAATGCTAATATTCTGTTTGATGATTGTTCTGCAGGTTATTACACTATTCAATATCCAAACAGCCCAACATGCTTTTCTTCGCAAGCAATCCGTGAACTATCGATTTGGTCTTAACTGATTCATGTCAACTTTGTTACCCATACTGACTACTTTCCCGTAACTTTGAAATATCCCACGATATAATTTCTAACCATAACAGCTCTACTTTCAATTACCATAGAGCTGATTGGGAGCAATATCGAACATTTTTAGAATATAGCTTTGATCCAAACATTCCTCTGCAAACCAAAGATGATGTTAATTATGCTCTTGAATCTATGACTACTTCTA